AGCAATAGCAAGGCAGCCTGTATTCCTAATTCTGTTACCAAGACACATTATTAATTATCAATTAAGCAGCTGGTGTTATCACAGCTTTATTTAAAACACTGTTTATTTGCACATCAAGGACTCACCATATTTGACAAAGCTACTCTGTCTTTAGGAACCACCAAAGAAATATCAAATGTTGCCTTAATAGCAGGTTCATCCCAGCAAGGGAAAGCTCTGCGAGCATCAGTAGCCTGAAAAAAGAGCATTAAATAAATAAATCACAGGAGATTGTGGCAGCAAAACACACAAATTCAGCTTATTTTGGGGCAAGAAGTGGGTGAATCACAGACACTCTTGACCTCTCTGCATCAGAGCATTTTATTCTTATTTCACCCTCGGCTTGAAAAAATAAAAGCAGCTGAAAAGGCCTCTGTGCTCTGATGGAATTGTACAGTCTGAGGGAAATTTAGCAGAGTCATGAGAGGAGCAAAGCTCAGTCATGTGAAAGCACAGAGGGCACCCAGGCGTTCACAGGCCCTGCACACACGACCACCTATTTATATTCCATCAGCCCGCTCCCAAAAAACCCTCTGCCCCTGGCAGGGAAGGGCTGCCTGCTTTATGTAAGCAGGAGGATCACTCTGGAATTGCAATCTGGAGTCAAATCCTGCCATTTTGGTGGGGTTTTACATAACAGGGCCGGGCCGTGGCTCACGTTTGGGATGTCGGGGAGATAAAACACAGCAGCCCCGTTAAAGAAAGATTAAAGTGCTTCACAAAAGGAGGTTTCAAGAGGTATCTGAGCATGTCTAAATCATGAGATGTTCCCGAGCACTGCAGCTCCTGCATGGCTGGGATGCATCCCACAGCAGCACCAGCCCTGCCTGGGGGATTGGCACAGCCCCAATTTCCTGACCCCGAGGCCGCAGCGTAAAGGCTGTTTAAATTTGAGTAAAAAATAATGAAATTCACCCAGAGGGGAGAGATAAAGGCAGGAGAACTGTGCCTTTGCCTCTTCCAGGCATAAATCCCCCCTGAAAGCAGCAGTGCAGCCCATACCTCGAACTGAGTGACAGCAGCGTAGCGGGTGTCTCCGGTGGGGGTGGTGTATTTACTCCGGTAAAAACCTTTCATTTTATCATTCAGCTCCCCTACAAAGTCTATCTTTAGTGTCCCTGTCCCTGCAACACAAACAGAGGGGGGGGCTGTTACTGGATTGTGCCAAACAGAGCATGGATTGGGTCTGGACCACCAGGTCCCTTTGGCTCCTCTCCGTCCCTCCCGTGCCAGCCCCCCACAAACCCTCCACTCTCCCCAGATAAACTCCAGGAGAGCAAAGCCAGGCTCCCCACAGATTTTTAGGATTGCTACCAGAGGCTGCTGCAGGGCTCAGTCTCACCTTCTAAGCAGAAAGCACAACCAGGAGAGACCAACCTTAAGCCATTCCCAAAGTCTGATCCTCTAATCCTCACTTTAAAGTTGGCACAAATATAGGATATAAGCAATAATGGCATCCTGTGGAATCCACTACAAAGCCAAGATGGAGCTGTGGCAGTGCTCAAGCTCATAAGTCAATTAGTCTCAGGATTTATTCTGCCCTTGATGTCTCAGTGCAAAAGGGGAAACCTGAGCCTGCCCAGAGCAGCAGCCAAGATCCCATAGAACCAAACATTCCTGCTTGATCATCCCAGAATTTCCTATTTGTATTTACCCAGATGAAATAAAACTGCTTGATTTAAACTGAGGAGCTGTTTCAACCCACGGGCTCCTCAGAGCAAGAAACTGCAGCAGTTGCAGAAGAATCCAAACATCGAAGGTGAGGAAAATCCTGCAGTAATTCCAATGAGCTCAGGAGGGAACAGCTCAGGAGGAATAACAGGAACAGCTCCTGCCTCCCAAGGGCAGGGAAACAATCAGAGCCACCTCAGGTGTTGGCAGGAAATACCACCCTCAGTGACACAACATTTCCAGTTCCAGAGGCTCCCAAAGTGACCCAGGGTGGGCACATCCACAGGGAGCACCACACCCTCACTGGGGAACTTCAGGGAAGGCAGAGTTGTCCCACTCCAGCTTTTCCAAGTGCAAACCCCTCAGACCCAGGGCTGGAGGCAGCAGGAAGCAGGGGAATGGCTCCTACCTTTCTGCAGGGTACTGGGAAAGGAGAGAGTAACCTTTTCATCCTCGTTTTGGTAGTTGAACCCCGTGGCGTGAACCTCTGGAACAGAAAACATTTCCTTGGTCAGAGGCTGCCCCAGAGAGGGGTTTGTACTCAGGAACGTTTAGGTTAGAATAATAAAACATTTAAAATTCACTGAATCAGCTGAACCCAACATGCTGCAGCTCCAGAGCAAATCAATGGAGGTTCTGAATAATCCATAATTCAACGTGAGGAAGCAAAGGAACACCCTCATGCTCAGAATTCCATGGCAGGGAAAGCTTCTGCCGAGCCCAGGAATGAAAGGTGAGCTGATAAATGATAAACCTGCAGCAAGAACAGTATCTGGACACCAGGAATGCTGGGAACAGCTGCCACAATCCTGACAAATGGTGAAATATTGCACCAAAATTCCCCTCAATATTAAACACTTCCATCACTGCAGCACGACTCTTAATAATTATCCCAAACAAGATGCTTAGGATTTATTTACCCAATCTGTGGCTCTCACTTGGAAAAGCACATTAATCTCCACAGCAGGGCAGGAGGGGGGGTGGTTTGCTTGGATTTAACCACAAAATAAAACACAGTGTTGGTTTTATTTAAAAAGTGACTTCAGAAGCAGAGTCCACCTTTGGAGTTCCTGTCCTGCTCAGCAAAGGGATCCCAAATCCACCCAAAAATGCAGCAGTTTGGTATTTACACAGCACTGGAACTATTTGTGGATGCAAACATCCAAACTATGAGGCCAAGCTGGAGAGACAGAGGGAGGGAACCTCCCCAGAATTAAAGTGTCTTGAAGCTCCACAGAGCCAGGGGAGAGCACCTGGTGTTGTTTCCTCCTTCCTAACTCAGGTCCCACTTGCTGCCTCCAACATGATGTGGATCCATATGATCCTTAAGCCAAAAAAACCTGGAATAGCTATGCAGGACCTCACTTTGCAAGTTCTGCTCCCTGTGTCGTTCAACCACTGCAAAAACCCTTGAGAAATTATCTTTAAGAACCTTAAATCTGCTCCAAAGCAGCTGAGAAATGGTTTCTGCAGCAGCATCTTCCACTGCTAAACTTGGACACAACAACAGGCTTTTCATCCTAAAAGGAAAACTTGCCACTCAACCGACTTCTTGAATGACAAAGCTGGTTTGCAACAACAATTTCAGTCACAAAAGGACTTGTTTTCCACACTCAGGTATCACTCCAAGCACCCAGGTGTTGGGTTTCAGCCTCAGCACACTCCAGGATGTTCAGCTGAGCTGTTCCACAAGTGACAAAGGGAACTGGAAACGTGCTTTTATTGTTCTAAAGTTTCAAGCGCTGTTTATTCTGGAATAGTGTGATTTCAGCCTTAAACCCCTGCTCCCAGAGCACATAAATGCAGGAGCTGCATGAATAAATTAGTTTTAAGTACAGGTTTCACTGAGCTCTGCTCAGGGTTTAATCTGAGTTAACCACCGTGCTGGGGTGCAGGACACAGACAGGGCTCAAATAACACAGAAATAGCTGCAAAAAATACAGAGTAGAAACAAATGCAGGGGGAAAAAATCCTCCACAGGATCAAGCAGAAGAACTTTAGACTCCTGATCCGTGCTGAGGAGTTCCAAGATTTTGAAAATCAACTTTAAGAGGGATGAGATGGAGCATTTAAAGCAGAATCCATGCCAAGGACACCCAACTGCCAGGAAACATTGGGAAAAGAGCACCAAAAATAAGGGTTTGGTTTTTCTTCTTGTAACTCTGGGGGTACTGAGGCAGAAAAGGAAGATTTTCAGGAGAACAGTCCTTATGTGCAAGGTGTTAATCTGAAGTGGGTTTCCAGCAGCAGAGAGGAGCTGGTTGCTGACTCCATCCTTCAGATCCCAGGAATTTTGAGCCCGAGTCCACCAGACAACAAACCTGTTGTTCTGCAGCAGCATGTGGGTGCCCTGGGTCAGAGGGAAGGACTGGCTGGATTCCTGCTGGGAAGTTGGGAGCCTGGAGGGCTCCTGCTGCTGCTGGACGAGCTGCAGGTTGTGGTCAGAGGGTAAGTGAACACCTGAGAGAGGCTGGATAAGGATCAGCTCAGGAATGCAGCAACACTTCCCCCCCCAGTGGATTTTTAAAAGGACCACAGCAAACCATAAACATTTTTATCTTTTTTACAAGGATCTGATAGGGGAGACAAACCCCAGCAGGATTTCAGGAGCAGAGCTCCAACCTCCCCAAACTGAGGAGTGCAGAGGAATGTGTGTTATGTGCAGCTTCTGCCAAAGGTTGACAATGGATATCAAGTTTCCCCCTCCTCCTCTCCCAAATGTGAAGTGCTCTTAAGTGTGTTTGAATTTGCAGCTCTGCTACTTTGTGAGCTTTTTAACCTGTAGCAGGAAAGACAGAGCTGAACATCACCAGGGTTAGGAGGTGAAGGCCTTCAGGGTTTTCTTACTCAAAGCAGCTCCTCACACATCAAATTCCAAAGCAAAAGAACATAAATGAAAGATTCAAAGCTACATTTTTTTTGTTGTTGTTTAAACTGACTACTCAGTGCCAATAATTTAATCCAGAGCAAAAGACCCATGGAAAACCATCAACAATACTTTTTGTTCGAGTTTAAGAGGACTGCTTCTAACAAAGATGTGATTGCAGCAAAGGGCTGTGTGAATTCCTACCAGTGGAATACAAAAGCTCCTGAAGAGAACAGCCCAGTTTTGGCAGCCTGCAAACTTTGGAGAGTTTGGCACTGCAAGGTTGCAAGTTAATCACTAGCACATTAGTGCACAGTCTGGGCTGAGCTGCATGAGAAAAATCAAAAGCTGCTGCTCTCCGTGGGTTTTTTTGGGGGGGAAAAAGAAAAAAAGAAAAAAAAAGCCTAAAAAATTGCACCCCAGAACTTGGAGCACTGCACTTCAAATTCTACAACAGCTCTTGCAATAAATCCCAGGCCTGCCACAGAGCACTTCCTGCAGCTGCACAGTGACCAGAGGGAGCCATCGATTACTGATCCCAATTCCTGGGCTCTGTCACTTCCAGTCGTGGCTCCCAGCCAAGGGCTTCAAGCAAAGGCAAATCTGGACTCGAAGCCAAGAGGAAAGATGGAACTTTTTCAAGTGGCCCTCGATCCATGGCATGGAGAAGTCACAGGCAATTAAGGTATGGTGGCTTAACGACCCTGCATTCCCAGGGGAGCTGCAGGGGCTGGGAGCACTCTGGCTTCCCTACTGCAAATTAAACTGTTTGCTTAAACCCTCCCTGTGCTGACCCAGCACTCCCTGTCCCCCAGTTCCCAGGAACCCTAATGCTTCCAAGCCCTTTCCATGAGATTCAACCTGTAAAATCCTAAAACATATTCTCATGCATCAGATATTCCAGGCCAAGGCAGCCCAGCTCTCCCTAAAAACCTGCATTAAACCCCTGTCACATCGAGTCCTCTCCAGAGAAAAAAGGATGAAGGTGAAGTTTCCTACAACAAACAAACATTCACCACTGGTTCAAACAACTCCAGACTGTCACAGGCAGCAGCAGCAGTCGGCTTTGCCACCTGGCCCCAGGTGGGAATTCATGTTCCCATTCCCTTCCTTCCACTGGAATTCCCACACAACCACCAGGAGCAGGAAGGTGCCTTTTTTTTTGTTCCCCTTGTGGAGGCAGTTTCCTGATGCACTTGGCTGCTCAGCAGGGCCAGCAGGAATGCCAGGAGAAGGGAGGGAGGGAGGAGAGATACTCAGCTCTCCACGAGTACTGCTGATTTTTGGGGAGGGTTTTTTGGGGGTTGTCTCTTTTTTTAAACACCACCTGAGGCTCTGGTGTAACCAGCATCCCACAGTGGGAAGGGAAAGGCCAAAAGAATGAGTTCTGGCCCTAAAGCCTCTTAAAGGTTGAAGTACAACCCAAAGTTGTACTTTGGGTTATTATTCCTGCTGAACAAACACCGCTCCTGCTGCCTGGGATCTCCTACGTGGAGCTGCCAACTGCTGCCCTCCAAGCACCTCTAAAACTGAAAAGCTGCTTTAGATCCCCCCCAAAATCTGAGGAGATTCCAAGCCAAAGACAACCTAATTCACTCCCTCCATCACAACTTCACAGCTGCCTGGAGGAGACATTCACAGGAAGCTCAAACTCCTTCGCATTCAGCGAGTCTGAAACTCAATCCCTTCAAACTCCACTTGCTTGGGAATGTCTTTGCAGTTCCTCATTCAGCTCAGCCAAGGCAACCATCTGGACACAGGCAGTGCAGCACGTGCACACCTAAAAGCCAAAGATGCAGCAGAAATGCTAAAAAACAGCTTCTGGGGGAAAAAAAAAACCCAACCCAATCCCAATGACTCCTTATAATCAGTGGGAGGAGCAGCTCCAGCAACGGAAAACTTGGTGTTTGGAGCAGCTTTGTTCCATTACAGAATTCCTGGCACACACAGAGCAAATCCACAACCCCCACTTGACAAATCCCTGCACCAGTTTGATGATGAAACAGGATTTTTCTGCTCCCAAGTCCTGAGTAATCAATCCCCCCCCTGGTCTGTTCCTCGCTGGATGGGGGATTACACAGCAAAATTCTTTACTTTGACTTTAAAGCTGCAGATCCTCCCTCAGCTTCCAGACAAATGTTGGGCAATAATCTGATTTCCCTGCAAATCTGCATTAAAATTCCAAAGGCCAAGTCCTACCCTCTGCTGTATCCACCTCTAGAAGGTGAACAGGGGGACAAGGAGCCCACTCAGGATTAGGAAGAATTATTAGGAAAATAAATAACTATTCTGCACAAAAATCAACAGATCACCTCCTGAAACAAAGGACAGGGATCTTTTCCCCACACCTACTTTTTGGGACATAATCACACTTGAAAGGAGATGAGTGACTGATCATCTTTTACCTTTTCTCAAACTGCAGCCAAGAGTGAGACAAATTCTCCCCCACTGAGACACAGAACCAAGAGGTAACAATTCTCCACTAGGGAAGAATTTTAAAGGAGATTTAAAGAGCTTTAAAGGAGGAAACACCCCTAACTTCTCACTCCTTTTCACACACACTCTCCAGGCAGCTGGTAGCAGGCTCACCTAAGGAATTAAATCCCAACCAAGTGGCTGATATTTCTGTGGCTTCCCTGGACCACATTTCATCCCGAGTTTTTTGAGAGCAGTTATACAATTACCATCCCAAAGCTGGGCACAATAGGAGCATTACTGAGACTGACTGGAGCTGTATCAACAGGTGCCAGCAAACACCCTGCCAATTCCATGCAATTTTCCTCCCAAAGCCATTACACTGCTTGGCACCTTCCCAACCCCAGAGATATGTTTTAACCCCCTGAAGCCTGGGGACAATTACAGTGAACGTGCAGCAAGGCCACACCTGGAGCATTTATGACAGCACAGCTTGTGAGGGCCTGAGTGCTGCACTCAAACCCCTGTGTGTGCAGAGAGCCACACTCAGGGCTATCCAAAAAAACCAGAATGAAGGAATTTAAGCCACAGAAACTCAATTCCAGCACCCTTTGGTTTAAGTCTCTGTTGAGCTCAACTATTAATACTTTCAAGTTACAAAAGATCTTCTCTATTTTATGTATTTTTTTCTGATTTGGCTGGCAAGAGATTTTAATTCCCAGGTACTTTTCCCTTCTATTCTCATTTTCTCAGTGGTAAAATAAGCCATTCCCAGGGGGTTGGGCCTGTGGCAGGGAACAGACTCCAGGTGCACTCTGCTCTTACTACCCCTCGTTATCTCCTCTTTCCTCAGGATCAGGAATAGCTCCAGCAGTGCTTGGCAACACCCTGCTCCCAGCCAGCTCCCTGGGGAAGGCTGGGAACGTTGGAGTGCCAGGGTACAACCCAGAGCACGTAGGGCACAGCTCTCCACTCTCTCCCTGCAGGGATGGGGTGGCCCAGCTCCAGGCCCCTCAGTCATTCCCTTCCCTCTGGCTGTGCCGGCGCTTCCTGAGCTGAGCTGGGCTTTTCCAAACACACCCTCCCAAAGCTGCTTCCTCGGGACACTTCCTCACCTCTGCTGCACCCAGACAGCCCTCTGCTTGCCCTAATATTATATCAAAAGTAACAGAAGTCAAAGCCATTTAAATGCAAAGACTTGTTGCAGACAGTCCACTCGGAACCCCGGGATGGTTTGGGTTGGAAGGGACCTCAAAAGCCACGGGCAGGGACTCCTTCCAAAGAGCTGCTGGGCTTGAAAAAGCAAATGCTCCAGTAAAAAAAAACAGGAAGGCTTTGATCACTGTTAGACCATTCATGGAGCTTATTTTGCACACCTCCTTCATTTTGTGCTTCAGCTGCTAAAACCCTTTTTGTGTTTGCAAATCTCCTCAAAATGCAGCTGGGGAAGTCAATGACTCCAGCTGAGTGTTACCAACAGGCACTGCTGCTCCCATTTCCCCAGGAACTTCCAGCCTCCCACTGGGCTGGATCCCAATCCTTGTCTCCTCCACACAACCACCCTTTTCCCTGTTGCCCTACACTCAGAACATCCTGCTAAGTGACAACTAAGTGTCTTCTGTACTTCCCAAATCCTTCCCCATTTCCTTCTGCAGGGTGTTATCAATACATTCCTTATCTAATCCCTGTCATGGATTTTGTCAATATTCCCAAATCCACAGGTACAGATCACGTTCAAACCAGTGTCAGCTCACAGTGTCAAACCAGCCCAACATCCTTTGCCTCCAACCCTCGGGCACAGTGGAGCAGAACAAATACCTCTGGCTTGTTCCCAGTTATGTTTGCTTAATAAACACTATTAAAGGTTTATACTTTTTGACAAATATAACTATCAGTGCATCTTCCCAGCTCCTGCAGTGGTGTCCCATCAAGATTTCAGGGAGGCTTGAGGGAACCTCTTTAACGTAATGCAAATGGCAGTGAGGAAGTGAGATAAGGAATTCTGAGCTTATCAAATGTTATGTAACAGTGGAATCAAAGTCGCTGGCCGTTGGCAGCAGCTCCCAGAACACCTGGAATGGGAAGGATCCTCATCCCTACCTTCGTCCCCTTCCGGCGCGTAGGAAGCCGTGATGATGTCGATGTCGGCGCAGTTCATCACGATTTGGTTGGTTGCATTTTTCACCTGGAAGAGAAATTCCGTGAGCACCAGGAGGAAAAGCTCCCTGGGGTAGGCATTCCCACCTCCCATCCATCCCAGGAGCCCTCCACCAGGCGTCTGAGGGGGAATTTGGTGGCCAGGAGCCGTGAGGAAGCACTTGGGACACGCGCGCTTGATCCGTGCTCAGCCACCCCAGGCCTACTTATCCCACCATAAATTACTGAAGGGAATGAACTGCCGGGTAAAAAGGGGTCTGAAAGCCTGACAATAGAGCCCTTGTACACGCCTGGCAATCCAAGAGCAATGAAAAACGGATGGAGAGCCCGTCACCTCCCCTGGAGATGATCTATGGGAGACCAGGGCAGAAACCTGGGGCGGGAGATGAGCAGAGACACAACCCCTGGGGGTGCTCGACACTGTGAGCACTTCCGAGGTTAAAAACATCTGCCAGGAGATTCTCCTTCCCCTTTCCCTGCGAGCTTCCCTCCTGCCAGCTCTTGGCTCCACACGCTCTGCTTTATTTACCAAGCGCCAGCTCCCGGCGTAGGAATCAACTGTGGGGCTGTGCCAGCTCTCTGTTTGAATGCAGAGGAATTCCAATGAAATATAAATTAATTACAAAGGGGTAAAATATTTGGGAGTTGAAGAGGGAATTATTTAGAAATCGATGGCTGTAACCACTAGAATGGTCACGCTGGATGGAGCTGGGGATCCTGCTAGTCCTGCACACGATTTCGAGCAGGAGACAAGAGCAGTTCCTTAAATAAAGGAGTAAAAGTTCCTGTAACAGCCAACTAGATTTAACATGTGCACGAAGAAGCTGCTTCCCACCCCAGAGTGAGCTCCTCAGAGCACAAGGACTTCCACCCCTTTCTTTTTCTTCACTGTTATAACCTCAAAATGCCCGTTAACACCCGGATCCATCGTTCCGGGTATCCGTGTCTGAACAGGGCAGGAACCAACTGGAACTGCCTCCAGCTCTGGGGTCCCAGCACAGGAGGGACAGGGAGCTGCTGGAGCGAATCCAGGGGAGGAAACATCCAGAGGGATGGAGCAGCTCTGCTGGGAGGAAAGACTGGGAAAACTGGGATTGTTCGGCCTGGTGAAGAGAAGCTCTGGGGTGACCTGACTGTGGCCTTCCAGGACCTGAAGGGAACTTACAGGAAAGATGGAGAGAGACTATTTAGGAGGGTCTGGAGTGACAGGACAGAGAGAATGGCTTCCCACTGCCGGAAGGCAGGGTTAGATGGGATATTGGGAAGAAATCCTTCCCTGGGAGGGTGGAAAAGCCCTGGCACAGGTTGCCCAGAGAAGCTGTGGCTGCCCCATCCCTGCAAGGGTCTGAGGCCAGGTTGGACGGGGCTTGGAGCAACCTGATCTAATGGAAGGTGTTCCTGCATGGAACTGGATGGTTCTAAAGGTGCCTCCCAACCCACACCACTCCAGGATTCTCCCTGCAGTGGCAGCTGGTTCCCCTGGGCCAGGAGCTGCTCCGTGTGCCCAGCCCAGCTCGCCCCGCTGGCATCTCCATGGAAACGGGTTTATGGCATGGAAAGGCACCATAAAAAGCTCAGGTGTCCCAGCTGGAGCAGACACTTCTCCCTCTGCCATCAGGGCCTGGATCTGGGCGAGGAGGAGCCGGAAGCAGAGATTCCGTGCGGAGCCGCTCCAGCCGGGAATGGTCCCTTAGTCATGTGGGACATAAAAACCAGATTCCAGCCCAGGCACTGATAAGGAGGCTTAAGAAATTTCAATGTGTAACTTAATAGGTGTGTTCCCACATCCATCTGCGAGCCAAAGGGCTCCCACCAGCTCTTCCAGGGAGATCCAAAGCCCACAGAGGGTGGGGAACACACACCAGCCTGACCGGGAGCTCCTTTCCAACCTCAGACACCAACCTGGCTCCTGAAGCAAATCCCTCTGGTTTACTCCCAACCATGGGACTGTCTGATTTCCTACACAAAGGTTTAAAGGTGTAATTATTAGTGCATCATTCCAAGCCCTGCAGTGGTGTCACACCAAGAGGTGCAGCAGAGCCACGTTGCCTCTTTATGGAATTAAACCCAACAAACCCAACCTGGTTCTGAAAACAAAAGCACAAAACGAGCAACTGCAACAGCTGAGGTGAGAGAGAGTAGATTTGATGCTTCTAGCAAAGATTTATAACCTGAAACCTTATTTTTTTTTTCACCAGTTCTGTGCCCACGAAACTGAACAACTGCAACACTCCCTCAAGAGCAAAATCAGAGCCCAACAGTTTTTATCACAATATTAGGGTTTGGGGTTTTTCAAGGTCCTCTAAAACACAATAAAATCAGAATGAGAAAAGCTTTTTATAAATGTCTGGAGACCTTTATTCAATCTATAAATCCAAATCTCTCTGGATTCGGAGTTCAAGATGCATTAAGAGCTGTCCAAATTGCAGACAATGTGGGTTTAACAATAGGCTTGATCTTTAAAAAACAGCCTCTTCCGAGGACACAACTTTCAGTGGAGCACTGTGCCTGCAAAATAAGAAAGTTTAGGTTTAAGCAGAGACAATTCAGAGGCTCCTTGGAAAGAAAAATCACCTATTTTTAGGATTTCTTTTTTTCCTTACTTCCTACCAATATCAAGCCAGTTTTACAACCAGGAAACACCTCGAGGGACTAAAGGAACCAGCAGGATAAAAAAAAAGCTTATCCTCCGCCTCCCAAAAAAACCAAGGGTGAAATTCATGGTGCAGGCAGGAATTGTGACAGTGGGGTGGCCCAGCCCCTTCTGAGGCTCCCAGAATTGAGTTCAGAGGGGAAAAGGAGCTTTCCTGTTGCCACCCGGGCTCCAGCCTGAGCCTCCTCCCTCTGAGCCACTAAAATCCTGAAGCACAGGCACACCTGTGAGAACAAAAACAGGACCAGAACCCGCCCAACATACTTAACTTATGACCACCTGATGTCACAAGAACCTGCAGCTGAATTGCTGCAGACACCAGGGACAGCCTGGAATGAATCCATGTGTTTTGCTGGAAGTGATACCTGGGAACTGCTTTTTATCCCAGACAGATGTTCTGCCCCTGGAGTGATTTTCATGAATGAAATCGTATTAAAGGGCAAAAAAAACCCCAACATCTTTCTGCATAAGGTATAAGCAATTACCCAGGTGAATATGTGGGACTGTCACCCTGCTTCACCTTGCCCTAGAACATAATAAATGTACTCTTCAGCAAGGAGAGGTTAATCAAGGGAAGAGCAATATCTAAATGCCCACAACGAGCAGCTCTGCCCAGGGTTGGCACTTAAAACTCAGATGAACCACCAGGAAATATCTGAAATAAAGGAATATAAACCTCTGGCTTTTGATGAAACTGCAGTAAATTAATCAGAATTCAAATACTTGTTGAGATCAGCCAGGCACAGACACCAGGGGGGAGGAAAATCCCAGCCAACAGGAGGTAACAGCTGAAGTTCCCCCCCCAGAAGTTTCCCAAGGTAACATCATCTGATGGCAGAAGAGCTAAAAATGTTGATTATTTGGCTCTGCCAAACAGGACTCGAAGATTTTCATCAGAGCAGGAAAAGGGTTTGATGGAAAAACCTTCTTGGGACATCAGGAACAAGGACTTGAATGGCTCCAGTGGAATGCCAGCCTACCTGAAATACAGGATGAGGTGCATCCAAAGAGATCTCCCGGAGTCAAAACTAATTCTGCAGAGCCACAGACACGACCAGATAATTCAATTCTTGACACACAGCCCCACAGCCCTTTTCTAAAAGCAGCATTGTAACAAGCACGTGTGTTTTCAGCAATTTACTCTCTAAAAATAGACAACTAAAATTACCTCGCTTGTGTTCCAGGGTGTATCTGTCTAAGAATTTAAACCTGAGAGAAGAGATTTTATTAATCTGCATCTCCAGCAAATTTCTGGGAGCCGAGGGGTAAAATTAGCAATGCCAGGACTGATTGGCCCACTGGAAAAAATTCCCTTCATTCCAAAGAGCATCCAGCCCCTGGGTGGCTCTCACACGTGGTGCAGAGGTGTCAAATTCACACAGCCAAGTAAATCCCTTTGTACATGAGCACTGCAGCCTCCCAGCCTTGGGAATTACAGGGCTGGAAGAGCCCTTCTGGGGGGGGGAGAAAGGCAAGACACCCCTATTTTTGAGTTGAGAGCCCTGAGGCATTGGCTTTGAAGCACCAGATTTGAACACTCAGCTCGGTACCTTTAACTCTTAAAAGCAGGTTTAATTTCACTTGCTGGAAGTGCAAATTCAGGTTTAATTTCACTTGCTGGAAGTGCAAATTCAGGTTTCATTTCACTTGCTGGAAGTGCAAATTCAGGTTTAATTTTCACTTGCTGGAAATGCAAATTCGGGTTTAATTTTCACTTGCTGGGAAATGCAAATTCAGGTTTAATTTCATGTGCCTGAAATGCAAGTTACAACACAGGATAACACAACCATGTATTATTTATCCTGGACAACTTCCCCTCTCCCCAGGAGACACCGAGCACAAATACTACACCCATCAAGCTTCATTTTTCAAGGATTACACACAAAGAGTGTCACAATTAATCTTTAACTGGCAGCCAGCAGGATCAGACTATACATTCCTTAGGCTGGCACACAGTGCATAATCAACCTATAAAAAGCAACAGATACAGGTTAAACATTGCTAAATATACCCTAAGATACATGAAAGGGACTGCAAAAGATATTTAAAAGAGCTGTGTACCTCGGGTTGTAAATTCTTTATAAGATAAGTTGTTTTGCAACCAAGAAACTCCTCAGAGTAGTTTCCAGTGAGAGAAATGAATCACCCCACCACACTCTCCAGGGTAAGGGAGTTTATCCACAGGGAAATACCAGGAAGTTGGGAGACAAGTGTGTACCCTTCTGGAGCTCTGCCCCCTGTGCCAGGCAGGTGATTGTTCAGAGTGTTAAGAACTCGAATTTTAAGAGATTAAAACCTTCAGGAGGGCAGTTGTTTTGTTTCTGTTGGTGGTTACTCATGTTTGTGGTGCTGCAGAGCACAAGGGCCACACATCCCCTC